TGATTGGAGGTATAGCAACTCTCTGCTAATTGAGTCTGTCCCAGCTATGTACCAGCACGGTGGTGCTTCTGTGCTGATGCTGGAGCCAAACTTGCAGTCCTTGTTCATGTCCAAGTGATAGGGGCATTCTTCCATAATAGCTGTTTGACACTGGTCCTGCTGCTCTAAATGATGATGAAAGTGTTACTCTGGTTATGATGTTCTTCATGGCAGATACACACATCCCATACTCTGGTTTAGATGGAAACATTCTGGCTACAACCAGAGTCAGGTGAGCTGTGTGAGGAAGGTGCACTGTACAAACAGTTGGTGTTGTAGAGGCTCCCTCAGGTACTCCATACCTTTAAATGTCCAAGAGGGTTCCTCGGCTTCCCCAGGCAGTGCAAGTTTCCATTTTGTGCAAGACCTCGAGGGAGGGAGACTAGTTGAGTTCCAGAGCTGACGCTGAATTTACTCTCAGTTGCAGTGGAGCTGGAGGTCAGTGGGGTGTGCTGTTCGACCAGGGTTCTACCTGTGCTGTGCTTAAAGATTGATGGCAGCTAAAGACTGCTCAATTGTTTATTCGTGTGTGGAGTACCAGAGCATTCCCTGGAGTCAGGAATGCTCCCTAAAGCGTTTCCTATGTATGTTTATATTTCCAAGTTGGCACAATTTGAAAAGATTTCCAAAGTGATGAGGACTTTATCACTTCCTTGGGAGGGATATCCCAAGCAATATACGTGCTGACATATGATACTACTGTGTGCGTTTTTCTGCTTCCCAGTGTAACTCATTCATTGGAATTTCTGCTCCCTCATTTTATTCTAAATGTGCCAGTATTTAGTTATCAGTATTAAGGCCAGTTCTTGCCGCTCATTTTCTAATAATGACTCAATTTTTTTTTAATAGTGCTGATACCTTAAAAGTACTTTGGCACTGTAGAAAGCACCTGTAAGATTGTATCAGTAAGCTTAGAATGCTAATAAATACTTATGTGTGCTAAAAGTACGTAATTGAGATACCTAATTTAGTATTTCTGTCATTTAAATTTGCCTGTCATCCTCTCAAGAGAAGGACTACTTTAGTCAATCCTATGACCTATTTAATCAATAGGACTGTAATTCAGTTAGTTCTGTTTTTTCCACTCCTTACAGCAGGGTAAATATAGTCAAAGTGTTTGAATAATTCCCTGCTTCCCAGAGTGCTGAAGCAGTGTTGTCTGTTGAGCCCTGTATTTAGATATAATTAGATAAAGACTAAGGTTTTGCAAAATAATTCATTTAAAGGAAACAAACCAATTATCCTCAGATTTCTATGCTGTAGGAACCTCTGCTGGTTCCTAAAATACATCTGCAGATGTGCTATTTAGTCAAGAGAGAATGTAATAGAATCATAGAATGGTTTGGGTTGGAAGGGACCTTAAAGACCATCCAGTTCCAACCCCCTGCCATGGGCAGGGACACCTTCCACTACACCAGGTTGCTCAGAGCCCCATCCAACCTGGCCTTGGACACTTCCAGGGATGAGGCAGCCACAGCTTCTCTGGGCAACCTGTGCCAGGGCCTCACCACCATCACAGCAAAGAATTTCTTCCTGATATCTACTCTAAATTTTTAGTTTGAATCCATTTCCTCTGTTAGAGAAATAGAAGTTTCATTCAGGGATGTGATCTTGTCCTCTGTTTTCAATGAGCCGTTTCTTTCTGGAGAATCTGCACGCTGGGATGCAATTCTCCATGTGGAAAAGACAAGCAATCCTCCTGATAGGAGAGAAAGGTTCCATCTGAATTCTTGGTGCAGTGTGTAAGGAAGAAAAAGGGCAAGTGAATGTCCCTGAGGGTGAAATGAGTATGTGGGAAATGAGTGATAAAGAGAGCTGGGTTTTTACTGCTGGAATCCTTTCATCTTGCTGCTGACTGCCTCCTATTGCATTTGCTGTGTGTGCATCCAGCTTTCAGGAAACACAGGCTTCCTCTGCTTGTCTGAAACCCCTGTGTCTTCAGTGACAGGGATGTGTGAAAACGAGAGTTTACTTCGTTCCACTAGATCTGTGTGAGGGAACAAGCCTCCCCTTGTTCTCTTTAAATCAGACTGGGCAAGAAGTAATGAAATCTATTTGTGTCAGCTAAGGCTGGTAAATACTTTCCAGATACAGATCTGTTTGAGGGGATTAAAAAAAGTACCTTTTCTAAGTCACTGTTCAGAAAAGAGGCTTGCTTTGGTAGTGCACACGAACTGTGAGGTTTGGTGAGTGGTTTTGGACCCGGTTGCCTGAGGGAAGGGAGGAATAAGGTTTGTGTAATGAGCCACATTCTGCTCTCTTTATTTATGAAACCTACCCTGCCCTCCAAATTTGTTCTACTCTAATCAGATGGAAGTTAGAAGTCCTAAAAATTACATTCCTACAAGTCATGGGAGAACTGGTGCTTGGGCAGAGTAGAGACCTAAGTTGGTGCACTCTTTGAGGAAGAAGACTGATATTTGGTGTAGAGAGTCCTCATAGAAGAGAGATCTGCAGGGCACAGTGGCATGGAAAGCTGCAGTTGCAGTTTTGCCTTAACTAGATGCAGGGTAACACAGCTATGGGGAATAAAACAATAAAATTTGCTTTTTGTTTGTTTGCTTGTTATCTAGCATTGCATAGGCAGACTTTTCTCTTTAAGAAAGCAAAAACTGAAACAGGGAAAATGAAAGACAATGTGACCTGAATTCATTCATAAAAAAAAACTTGCCAAGAAATAGAGCCATCCAGGGTTCACCTGTTAGCTTTATTAGAATATCTCAGAACATGAAGGAGGGAAAACTTGAATAGGATAAAATCCAAACTAGCTGAAGCAAAAATAAAAGAGGAAACAAATTAGAAAAAAAAGCTATCAGTTTACAAGGCAAAACCAATTGATTAGTAATGTTAGATTTCAGCAAAATAATTTGTGACCTGTGCATTCTGGTGCAGTTATGCCCATAGATTTTGGCCTGCTGGAGTGGCTGTTCAGGTGCTTTCCTTGGTACCAGTGTATTTAACCACTTTCAGCAGGACAAGAAAATGATGAGGACAGTATAATCTGTTACCTGAGACCTTTGGAGAGTGTTCTGTGCTGCCTTTTCCACTGTTTTTCTTTGCTCTGGCCAGTACTTCTGACTGTTGATTTGTGGGTTCTTTTTTTTCTAATGTCCCACTGTTTTTTCCAGTTTGCCAAACAAGCTGATTAAAAATGTCAGCGTGTTCTATTTGAGATGTATCTTACCTTGATGGCAGTTATGGCTTCTGATTTGGGTATTGGGCACACTGCTTGCTATGAGAGCCTTTTGCACCTCAAAACTTCCATTTTGAGCTTGCTTTGGTCTTAGAATTGTTTTTTACTACTTTTGCTGGACAGACAGCATGCTTGAGATTAATAGATTCTTTTGACACTGGCAGTTCTTTAAAGTTGTTCTTTTTTTTCCTGAGATTCCTTACTGATATAAATATATCTGTGATTCATTGACTTAAAGCATTGGCTTATGATTTTTTTTGAGTTAACCCTTTAGAAAGAAAAGTTCCTCTGGTTTGTGGGAGGAGATTTTTCTGCCCCACTGGTGATTTTGCAGGAAATCCTTTGTTTCATGTGGCTGTATTGTGAGGACACCTGTCAGGAGCCCAATCTGTGCAGATAACTGTCAGAGGTGGAATGGCTGTGGAAGTCTTGAGAGCAATTGGATGAAGCTGGATATGATCTGTAAGAGAAGAGTG